TTTCTATGCTGATCTCTAAGCTGCTCCCATGGACTGCCCAGACTGTGGAAAAAAAAGCACACGTCAAGTTAAATGGTAAGAGAACTTGCATTGGAAATATAAGAAGTCATATAAACTCTGGTAAAGACAGCAGCCACACCTGAGCAGGTCACCAAGATGCACAGAATGAGGGCTGAGGATCTCATCATTGCAGGCAGGTGTTCAGATCAAGTCAAGGTGTTCAAGTCAAGTCACGTCCCTGAGCCTGAATTTTTGTGATCATGACATGGTTTTTATAACTAATGGATGAGGATGGGGGCTTCGTGGTAGCTAGATTGCTTCCGTTGTGAAACCCACTCTGACCCTCCCCACTCACCCCCTCCCAACACACACTGTTTCAGCCCTTTTTTCCGCTTTGCTTGTTCATTTGTTGCCGTGAAAAAAAGAAAGTGGGTTCAGTGTTGACCACAAAACTGCGAGAAACATGATTCACACCACCTAAAAGAATATAATTCAGTGTCAAGGCAAAAAGTCTGTCACCTAGAGGTCAATCTTATTTCTGAAATGAGCCAGTTGATGTTTAATAAAGAAATATTTTAATTAAAACAGGGGCACAGCTTATTTACTTCACTCAGATACATTTCAGTTCAATTAAATCCTGTTGGATGCTAGTTCAGATGAAAAAAAAAGATAAGAGATGTTTAGTCACATCCTGACAATTCATGGAAAAAGCTTCTAAAAGAAAGTGTAGTGTATCACTGTGTTAGACTTATTGTTGAAAGTCCCATTTTCTGGGACTTACTGGCCTTCATATCTATTTCTTGCCTGGTAATCATGATTGAGATGCCTCCCTCATCTCCCTTTATTTGGTACACACTCTGTAAATGACTTTAGGAAAAAAGCATAAAGGCTTTGACTATAATAAGACTTTCAAAGTGACCTACTCATTGAATTTGAGCATTCTAAAATGGGACTGTTTTTCCATGTACATGTCTCATGATTAAATTTATAAAACTTGTAAAAACCTAAGTCCCCTTTGACTCACAGCCTC